CCCCAAAACCCCAAAACCCCAAAACCCCATTGCATCTATGATCGTTTAAATAAGTGGAATTTAATATGTTATGCGAGAATATAAAATATTATTATTATGGCCCAATTTTTATAATTGATTACAAATGCAAATTATTTGATTACAATATTTTTTTGGCGAAGCTTTTATAATAATTCATCAGTATCAATGCCTTACTTCGCTAATATAATTTATCGAACTTGATTGAACAATCTCATCTATCTATAAACATTCTTTATCCATCATGTTAAATTTACTCAAACTTTCGTACTATTGATTTGGTTTACTAATTTTAATTATCTTCTATTTGTAATATATGTATACTTTCCCTCCTTTTCAAAAATGGAGTGATTCTTTAATAATACCGAATGGAGAAATTTTTTTATCTGCTATTAAATGTAATCTTAAGATTACATAAATAACTTAGTTTAAATCCAAATTTACTTGATCCATTACAAAAATGCAATATGGCAAAATGCGAAATTATAGGGGGAAATAGAAACTCTTATAATTAAGATAAAACTCATCTCATTATCACATCTTTTGTTTGTTATTGCCATTGCAATTTCTCTAATGATTATTATTCTTATCAATTATTTAAAATCATTCACAGAAATAATTCAGTTAATTTCATAGCATTTGTTCCTCATTCTCACTCATTTGAAATTTTAATGTTTAAGCCTTAAATCTCCTTAAATATTGGATCCTATCCATTATTATGGATCCTCTGCTTCCAGGTCGACTTAGGTCTAAAAGAAATAATATGGCGAAGATTTTAACTGCATTACTTTTTGGATTGTCAGTAACTGCAATTGCTATTCTTATTTACGGGCAAGAATCACAACCAAAGTAGGCTAATGTACTTGCTTCTTCTTAAGAAATGGCTAAGCCAGGCGAAGTCATTTTGTTCGAAACTACAGAATTTAGAAATAGACAAGTAAAGCTCTACTCAGGATTTAAGGGAAATTTGGATACTCTTTCACCTAACTTTGACGACATATTGAGCTCTGTGTAAATTGGTAAAGGTCTTAGAGTAAAATTCTGTTAATACAAAGACTGTGTATGGTGGGGATGGAGTGATTCCTTTGAAGTCCTTGGACCTTATAACGAGCCATATTTTATTCCTTATGATAGTGTAAGCTACATTGAAGTTTATTCTTACGATGAAAAAACTGAGCCAAGAGTGACTATCATTGGAGGTGAAATAAGATAGTTTGACAGATCAGGAACATTTTTGCCAGGAAGATATTTGACCGAAGATCTTTAAAAGAACGGAATAGACAGACCAAGATATGGAGGAGGTGCTTCAGCCATATTAGTTCCAGCTAATATGGGAATCTAAATTTACAAAAATGACTTTTTTGAAGGAGAAACTATAACATTCAAGGGGCCAGACCAAATAGATCTAATTACATATGAAAATGGAAAATGGAATGATTACATTGGAAGCATAATAGTCTCAAGTTACATGATTGGGAAGGAACCTGTTTAAATAATTGGATACTGGGAGAAAGTACTATCGTCTAATGATGAAATCACTACTAGTATTGAACAAACTTCTGGTATTGAAAAATCATAGACTAATGAAAATGAATTAAGCTCATCAATTACAGCTGGATTTACGTTTGGTGGCGATGCTTATGGATATAAAGCTTCAGTTAGTGCCACTGTAGGTACTGCAGTTAGAGACACTGTTTCTTAAACTTTGAGTAGCTCGAAAACTCGCAAAATTGAAGCTAAATGTTCAAACCCCACAAAAGTAAAACTAACTCTTTGGCAATGGAGCATGACTGGAAAGAAAAATGGAGAACTGGTCATGGATTTAACTGATAATGAATTCATTTGCAAGAAAGGAAGTAAACCTCCCAAATGTCCTGTTGGATTTTGTGATGATGATGATCC